AGAAACAAACAAATTAGGCACTAAGAGAACCACTTGTCAAATGGCTGGGATAGTGCAATTTTAAGTTACTGACTCCCCACAAACATCTAGTCTAGTAAAAAATTCATAAAGGGACAGATGGCACAACAGCAGCTCTTTGCAGGAGAGCAAGGTTTAGCAGTGAACAAAGGACTTTGACTCCCTAGGACAAGGGGAGAGAAAATTGTAGGTTTTGGGGGCTTGGAAGGGGGGATTGGGGCACACAGGGAGCTGGGAAGAGCCCCTGGTTTCACCCCACAGCAGCAACAGATCCCAGATATTTGTCTTGCCTTGGCAGACCCACAGGAACAATCAAACTCTGCCATGCTGAGCCCTCCTGGCACCAGGAATGGGAAAAATAAACCCCAAAACCTCCTGTTCAGGGATCTGAAACCACTTTCCACAGCCAGGTAGTTGCTAATGCTTTGTATTAATGGGGAGACTAAGGCAGTGATTTATGTCACTTTAAGGTGACAGGGCAACCCAGTGTCAGTGGGAATTTAATCCAGACCTCTCCAGCCTTGCTGTTCTGCCTCCCACAATGAGGAAACATCCTTGTGTTACCCAGTGGGTTTTGGAATCACCCCAAAGTGATTCAGCCTTTTCAGATGGCTGAGATTAAGAGAAAAGGAAGAAAAAGAGAAAGAAAGGGGGAAAAAAGGAAAAAAAGTCAGAAATCTGCACTTATTCGAAGTTAGAGCCTTCAAAATGAAAATTCATCTGTGTTCTTTTGCAGTTTTTTAATTGAAGTAAAATATTTGTTTGAATTACATAAAAATTTCTTTTGACTGTTCAAGGGGTTTCATTTAAATTACATGTAAATTTCTTTTGACTGGTTCTCTCTATTAGAAAAAAAAGAGGAGGGGGAAAGGTAAAAACCCAAAAATGAAAAACTTTCACCTAAAAAAGTCATACCAATTCTCCCCTGTACCACAGAGTCTTCAATTAAACCACAGCTTCAGTAAACTTCAGTAAAGCATTAAGAGGAACAAGTACACAAAATAACCTCCTCTAACGAGCTTGAATCTTCAAGGAACACAAAGAAAACTAAAAAAATCAAAATATCATTGCCATTTGATGAATTTATATCCAAAATTACACAACTCACCTACAATGAGGGAGAAAATCTGCAGAAAAGTGATAAATTAATTTGCATCTTCCATGACCTCTTAATCCTAATAACAAGGTTCTTTTATTTGCATAAACAGGGTAGGAAAGGCAACAAAGTGAGTAATTCTAGCACAGGTGTAACAAAATACAGTTTTCAGTAGGAAGTGCCATGTTCAAAGGAATGAGCTTCCACCCTTCCATCCAAAAATCCCCCAGACCCTGCATCTCATATCCCTGGGTGTGATTTCCATAAAGGAAACACAAAATTCACTCTCCAGTTTCAAGGAACTACCAGGAACATCAAGAGCCACCACTTCAGCCATGAGAGAAGGGAGAAAAAATAGAATATTTATATTTTTGATGTCTCTTAAACCAACCAATCCCACAGATACCAACTTCAAAAGGCAAGCAGAAATCCAGGGTGAATCCACAAAAACTGGGATCCACCACAGGGACACACCAGAACCAGCTCAGCTCTCACTAATTCTGGTTATGCACACAAAGCTTGCTGTGACTTTTTGAGAACTGATTATGGCTCATGTTGTCCAAAACCTTGGAGTGCAAGTGCTTCGGGATTAAAATTGCAATTCCAGGTCCTTCCAGCCCTGTGTTCCAGTGGAATTCCCAATTTTGGACACCTGTAATAGCAGCAGTGCAGGATCTGAGCTGTGCCACCCCTGTTAAATCAGAAGCATCACTCTGAAATCCAATTCTATCCAGAGTTACACTGGAATTCTGGCTCAGAACATCACAGGAACCAAAATATTCCAATGTATCCTGCAGATCTCTGCCAGCAGGAGAGGGCACACACTAAATTTCAGTGGAGAATTTCCCTTTCATATGGAAACGTTCTCATTTCCAAGACGGAGTGAAAAAATAACTGCAAGGGCCTTCGGATCTAAATCCAGTCCCTGGAGCAAAGGTCATTGCAAAAATGTTTTATTCAGCATCAGAACTTTTGGAATTCTTTCAAGGAGAAGAAAAACCCCAACAACAACCACAACAGGGCTGACATTTTTTTCCCACTGAACAATTTCTTCCTTTTTAAACAGGGATACAAGTCCCCAGCATTTGGTGAACACCAGTGAATTGCATCTCCCTCCAGCACTCAGCAGGTAAAAAAGGGAGTAGAGAAACAAATAAAGGGGAAATCACTATATTGATGATGGTGTTACAGTTGAACTCCATGACCTTGGGGACCTTTCCAATCTCAAAGATTCTGGAACATTATTCCATGGAAATTCTGTTTCACTTTGCCCACACTGCTTAGGCAGAGCTCTGTATAACACAAAGGTTTTTGCAATTCTCCTCTCTCCATTTTCCTTTTTTCCCTTCTCCAGAGACACGAGACAATGTTACAGCCAGGTTGGTACATGGCAGATTTTTACATTTACCTATCATTTCACACCTGGGAAAAACACCTGCATTTCTATCACTATTTGAAGAAAACCTGTAGTACATTTTAAATTAACAGCAACCCACCACGAAGGCATTATTGAGCTGAAAATATCACCGTATTTATTGACCCACATGGCTGCAAGGTGCACTTCAGAAATTATATTCTGCCAAGTCCCTAAGCAGAAGTGTTTTGCTTTAAAGAAGCATAGAAAGACCCCCTAAATAAATCAAAGCACTGCTGCCCAGAGTCCAGAGCACACAGGACTCTCCTTGTTTGCAAGACAATAAAAAATTACCCCACAGGGTGCATTTTAGGGGAGTGGAGTGTGCAGTTAAACTCCTGAGCTGTTGTGCTTTGGTGCTGTGGAGGTGTGTGAGGATGACAGACAAGCCGAGGATTTTTCTGTGCACAGACAGGCACAGCACAACTCTGTAACTTTATTTTATTACTCCGTTATTTTATTTGCATTAGGTGCTGATGGAGATGTAGCACACAGGATTATCCCTCACTCCTCGAGCCCTGTTTGAAGAGGTGAAATGGAAATAACTGTGCAGAAATAACTCTGCCAGAAGGAGTCACTCTCTTGATGCTGCACCACCAGACAGTGGCAGAAAAAAAGAAAAATATTTAGCTTTAGTTTTGCTTCTTTCACCAAGCCAAGCCTCCTTCAGACAACAGGGCAGAGCTGGGATAAATTCTTCTCTCTGCAGCCTAAAACTGATTTAGTGACTGCCTTTAACACTGAATGGAGCAGCTTTTCAGGCTGCACCACTGATTTATTTCCCTCACCTACCTTCACTGAGCTCTGGAGTTCACCTGGAATGGAGAAAGGGAAGAACCAACACACAAAAAGGAACAGCCAGACTGAGCCTGGAGGATGCTTCCATGCCATGAGAATGTCTATTGCTGTCAGCAGGGCAGGCAGGAAAAAAGTTCTGGGCTCAGAACAAATTAGGAGAGGTCTGGACTAAGTTAGGAGGGATCTTAGAGCAAAGCAGAAAAGGTTGGGACTCACCAAGTGCAACAGGTGATGCACATTTTCTACACAGCTGTTAGAAAGAAAAGCCCTGTCCTTTCTCATAGTTCCCATTTCATTTTACATCAGCAGATCCCAAAGCTCCCCATGAAGCACCAGAATCTTCACTTTGCATGAGAAGAAGCAGCTGGCTCAGGATTACAAATTCAGCTGGGGTAGGAACTGTCCCTGTCAAGGTCTCGATCCAGGGGCAAATCCAGGGCCTTCCATCCCCAGCTGCTTCCCAGAAAATTCAGACTTCGGGCTGGAGAGTTCCCAAATGCACATTCATACCAAGCATCAACACAGCCAAAAATAAGCTCGAAATTTCATAGGAAAGGTCAAGATGGCACATCCAGGACTCCTGCTCTCCAAAGAGCCCAAATTTCACTGCAGCTTTAAGCTCTGGCCCCAACCACAGTTTGTGAGCACAGAATTAAAAGGGGAAAACGTGGGGTAAAGGGAGAAGGAGGGTAACCATCACCTCATCAGAGTTCTAAGATTTAGATTAACTCTGTGATAAAAAAAAAAAAGAAGAAAATTATTGCAGATCTTTATTCAAATCAGCTTTATTGCTCTGAATGCCAAAACAAGTCCACGAGAAATACTATAACAAATTAAGCTTATTAGAAAGGAGACAGAACAGGCCAAACACAGATAGGCAAAAAAACTGTCTCTAAAACCAATCCACTCCAGCATCAGCTCTCTTACAGCATCTGCTTCGGGGAAAAGGAACCCTGTAACAGTTACTGCAGAATAATCTGGGGGAAAACTTTTTCTTCCTGGCTTTTCCTTATTTACTGTTCCCCTTCTGGAGCCCTTACATGTGTGCTCCTTTCTGAAGCAGCTCTGCCTGGTTTTATTTTCCCAGTCTGAGCCTTGCTGAGCTCCAGATTTCAAACCCTTCCACGTCAGCAAGTTCCACAAGGGAGTTTTCTAAGCTCCCCCAAATACACACAATTTTAACAGTGCCACTCCATGGTTTTCTCCCCATTTCTGTTATTGACCTAAAAAATAGCAAAGGAACCTAAACCTGGAACTGAAACTGAGTAATACACAAAGCTGTTCTACATAAAATTGCTCACAATCCCAAACCTGTCAGATTTAATGTTGCATTTTTGCCTTTTTACCCCTCCCTTTCTCCCTACATTTCTACAAAAATATTGCTCTTTTGTTAAAGAGCATTACTGGAGCTGCCAGGTTGCTCAAAGCTTTATCTGTCTCAGTAATCCAGTTGGATCCCATCCCTGGTGAGGAGAGAATGTTCCAGGTGGACACATGGGATATTTGGTCACAATAAAAACACTATTTCATTTTAAAAATAAACATAAATTTTGTCAAGGTCCCCAAATGGCAGGCATAAACAGATAACCAGTGAGAAACAATCTCTGGTGATTCAAAGTGAAAAATAAACAATTTTGGGATGCTTTTGCAGGAAAATGAGAATTCATCTCCTACCTGTCAATGATCACAGGGTCGGATGGAGTCTCATTTCTGTTGCCACAACTTTTCTTCTCACAGCACCGACTGGAGAGGGAAAGAAAAGCAAAATTAAAGAACAAATGAGAGCAAAGAACCAGCTCAAAGTCCATCAGAAAACCTTCAGCACTCAATATATGCCTGGAAGGGTAAAAGTTCTGCTTTCCAGAAGGGAAAATTAAGGGAATTGGGTGCCTAAGTCCTGGCTGGTTCCAGCTGGAGTTTGCCACTTAGCCCCCTGTCATCTATTCTGAATTACCCAGCCAAAACTGAACAGCAACATGGCCACACTTGAGACTGAGGTGATATTTGTAAAGGTCTAATAAGTGATTAACAGATGTCATAACGTCATTACAGGCAGGCCCAAATGAGTTATGTGGAGTTAAAAGTCCATCAAAAGGTGTTAGAACTGACTACAAGCAACCTCATGGTTTGGTATATTCCAATATTATTTTTTTATATTACTGTATTTTATTATTTTTAAGTACCTAAGTTTTATATGGTGACTTCAGCACTCTAGGAAAAGCCAGAAACTGAACTTATTTAGGTCTTACAAAGGATCTGAAGAGATGGTTTTCAGGTTGGTTTTGCAATCCCTTTGCAATTGTTCCAGTGATAAACCCTTTAGATTAAGTATTAATGTATACATAGTCAATGATAATATTAATTATAATAAATAATAATAAATATTTTAAAATCAAAAGACAGTTCATTATTTCCATTGATATAATCACTGACATGGATGATGCTCCTGCACAAAGAGTAGCTGAGCACCAGGAGTTAAACAGATTTTAAAGCCAGCCCCTGGTCTGGAATCCTCACTTTTAATAATCTGAAGCAACAGAGAAAATTTAAGCTTTTTTCATGCTCAGGATTTTTGTTCCAGTCAAAGCCAACATGGGACGGGGAGGATGGAGGCACTCAAAAGTTTAAAAAGTCTCTATCAGAAGTCCCACATCCCTCAAAAGTCATCAGAGCAGATGCCTTTCTAGAAGATATTTTCCATATTTTGCAGAGATTTCTGTTCAAATTGACACACATGGGGCGAAGAAATTTTGGTGGGTTTTTGTACCGGTGTGCTGAAAACATTTGCAAAATTCTGAAGCACTCTGAGTATCAGAGCTTTCCAACTAGGGAGCAATTCCAAGCAGAATAAAAGAAAGAATTTTTAAAATAAATTAAATAAATAAATATTAAAATAATAAATAAATATTACAAGAATAAATAAATATTAAAAGAATAAATAAATATTAAAAGAATAAATAAAATACTTGAATTCATTAAAGGAAGAATAAAATATTAAAAGTGGGGATTTTTTTAATATGAATAATATTTAATTACAAATGCCTAAAATGAGCATTTAGACAAAAAGCCCTCTTTCAGCTATGAAAAATCCCAACATCCTCCAGTTTCCAGGAAGTTCCTGCTCTGGGGCTGGAATTGCCCAGCCAGAGGAGCTGGAAGGAGCAGATCTATTTGAATAGCAGCTCTAACTGTTTCAACATTCTTACATTCCCCGTGCCTCAAACCTGCACTTATTCATCAATGCTACTCCTTTTTAAATAAGAGGATACACTAAATATTTAAAAATCCCTGGGGCAGCCCCTGTAGCTGCTGTAAATTGTCATGGCTCCATCGACTTCAGTGCAGCTCTGGTAATTCACATCAGCACAGAACATCACCCTCCCTCCTTCTCCCAACTTTATTTTAAGTGCATCTTTTATGGATTTCACTGCCCAATCAGTGTTTAGGAAGAATGAAGTATTTTTATACCAGGAGCCAAAATGGGAGATGCTTTCTAAAGGAGAAAATTATAATAAATCCCCCCAAAATGCAGAAAATCCTTTCAAAGGAACATCAGTTTGGGATGTACATTGACATGTCCAGTATAGCAACAAATGGAAAATAACATTTGGAATAAAATCTTTGCTGCTTTACAGGCCATTATAACAAAGCAAAAAAAAACCCCCAAAAATCTGTAGTGATTCCAGGGATGGTGCCACTTCTTGGCAGAGCATTTTGGGATGAATTCTGTGAGACTGAGAACAACGTGGCTGGGTTCAGAAACAAGTGCATCTTGTTTTATTTCTATTTCCACTATTATTTCAGTTCTGAAATTTATATTTGCAATATTCAAACATTTTCCCTCTAAAACTGTGGCTTGTAGCTGAAGTTCTCCAAATATTTTACTGATATCTACATTCCTATCAGTTGGGGAAAGATCTTTGTAAGTGATAGACTTTTTCCCCTTTGACCGTGGTACTTTCTGAGCCCAAATATGTGAAAAAAAAATCTTGATGAGGGAGAAGAGCCACTTCCAGTGAAGGAATCACTGTTTGCACATAAATCAGGGTGGACTGAGGATGTTTCAGCTCAACATTTTAGCAAAAATACCTCTTAATTTTTCAATCCCTATTTCCAAGAAGTTCACCCCCTATCCAAGCAGTAACGATTCCACTTGGTGGGTTTCACAAGTGCTGTCTGTAACAGAATTGGATAGTTCCACTTTCAGTCCAAGCCAAAACCCCCAAACTCTGGTGGTCCAGGATCAAAACTTCAATATTCTCTTCAAGCAAATTATTGGCATGACTTCACCAACATTTACATTTCTGCTACAGTGCTGGGCTGGGAACACACTTAGAGATGATCATTTGCTTAAGACAAGAGTATCAAGGCCTAAGATGATTTTATACATCTTTTGTTGTTATACTTTCCCCTCTAGTTAGGTCTACTTGGTGAAAATGATGGCTTATGTTAAGAATGGTCCAGAAAAAACTTAAACCAAACCCAGAAAGTTCCCCGAGACAAATCCAGCTCTACAAACTGAGCATCCCAAAAACCTCATATCAAAGCCAAACTCCCATCCTTTTCCCTCCTTGTACTTGACTAAAATGTTATTAAAATTCATCCCTCATCGTTCCTCCCCTCACCCCAACACCAAAAAGAAAATTTAAAAAATTAAGAAAAAACTTAAACCAAACCCAGAAAGTTCCCAGAGACAAACCCAACACCCCAGAAACCTCATGTCAAAGCCAAACTTCCATCCTTTCCCCTTCTTGTACTTGACTAAAATGCTTTTAAAATTCATCCCTCAATTTTCCTCCCCTCATCCCAACACCAAAAAGAAAATTTAAAAAAATTTTAAAATTAAGAAAAAACTTAAAACCAAACCCAGAAAGTTCCCGATACAAACCCAGCACCCCAGAAACCTCATATCAAAGCCAAACTTCCATCCTTTCCCCTCCTTGTACTTGACTAAAATGCTTTTAAAATTCATCCCTCAACTTTCCTCCCCTCACCCCAACACCAAATAGAAAAAAAAAAAAATTAAAAAAAAAAAAAATCTGTCTCTAATTTCAAACTCAAATAAGCTCACAGCATGGTGGCCTTTGTTTTGTTTTCTTGTGCCCAACTCCTCCCTGCAATTGCATAACAAAAGTGTCTAAATTCACACCATCTGGCCGATAAAGACACGGGCCCCAGTGGCCGCCTGGCCCAGCTGATTAGAGCTCCCGTCTAGCCTGAGCCTTGTGGCGAAAGTCACAGCTGTGGGGCTCGCTCCACTCAATACAACTCTGTTATTAGCCAGCTGTAGGCCCTGAGACTACTTCTGTTCGAATTATAATACCTTTTAACCCTCTGAGCATTGAGGGCGTAGGGGGTTGCTGGCAGCAGCATAACAACGAGTTTCCTCTTAGTGAATAATTGGAAGAAAACAAGAAGATGGGAATGGGGGAAGTTATTCCAGGAGAGGAAGGTGTTTTACCTTGATTTTCAGCGCTTTAGGGTTGTGTTATTCCACGCAAACACGCCTAATAGGAACGGTTCTATTAGGCCATAAGGCGGATTTTTCCATTTTTTTCCAAATGGGAAAAAAAATTCAGATTGGAAATTAATAAATGGAGCCTCGCACTGGAAGCCCTGAAAGCACTAATTATTGAGAGCTGAACTTTCAATGGCTATGACAGATTGGTGCAGCCGTATCAATATTTAGACAACTTTCCTGCTAAGCAGGCATCTGTCACCCTCTGAGGGAGAGACGGGCACTTTCGGAGGAGCAAAAAATATCTTCATGTGTGATTCTGTACAGAAAAATCCTCCCCAAAAAACCCTACCTTTGACTAGGGAGGATGGGAAGAGGGGCGGAAAGACAGACAGACCCTTCTTGCTTTCCTTTCAGAAGCAGTAGGCATCAATTTCAACAGCAGAGTGGGTACAATGCATTAAAATTTTATGTACTGTTCCTAATGCAAACTAAACTAGAGGCTTTAAAAATTGATGCTGCCACTTAAGCAGCAGACAATGAGGAAGATTTGATTATTGTACTTAAAAGAAATAAAATAAAATGTCAAGTTTAACTAGAGTTGGAGGCATTCCCCTGGCATTATTCAAAGTGATATGTGTAATGCCTCTTCAGAATACATAGCATCCTGCTCAGAGATACTTCGGGAAAACACGACATTTAAAATCAAATGTCTTCATTAGGTTACAGAGTGCTTTTGATCCCCTTCACTAATCTGTGTTTTACATGGGAAGGACATCCCCGAGTTGTAATTCTTCCTTAGCTAATCTATCAAGCAGCAGAGCTGAGAATAATCAGAATAATAGCTTAGATTTGTGCAACGCTGCCTTAAACCAAGCACAGCGGAGGTTTGCAGGCATCACTGGAGCTCAGCAATATCAAAGAAATAAATGATACTATAAAGGCAGGGACAGGAAGCAGGGGGAAAGCCCAAATTAATCTGAAATCAGACATGTCCGTTTGGATGAGAAGGTGCTGAAATACTTGAACTTCCAAACCAGAACTGCGCTCTGTGCAGGGAGAGGCGAGACAAGAAATGGGCTCACTGCTCTTTATGTTATCACAAACTATAACCAATTGCACGAGAAAGCAGACTTTTCTTCTCTCATTTTCACCTGGTTCTAGTGAAACCTTTCAACAACACAGATCCATATATTATATATATGAAATTATATACACGAGTCTAGATGTGCCAGAAAGTCACTTATACCCCTTTGGTCTTTGCCACTATGGGCCCTTGTAAAGCTCACCCAATGCATCCCTCAGATGTGATATACATTGTATTTAGGCATAAATATGGAAATACTGGTCAAAAGCTAATTTACTTAATTAATGAGAGCTACATACAACAGAGAAACAATGCATTTGTTTCATAGTGAATACCTGATTCAAATTATATTAAAAAGTAACGGAATCGTTGACATAATGAAGTACTGAAACTAAGATTTCCCCTTGATAAAAATTCTACCCAAATAGGCTTCTCTCACTCCTACATTAACTTAAAAGTCTACTATAATTTAAAAAAAATATAAAAAACAACAATCAAGTAGCAAGCTGCAACATTAAAAGAAGCAACATTGAGTCCAACAGCTTAACCCTTTCCCACTGCTACAATAAATCACAAACTCTGTATAATAAAGGTCACAAATGGGTTTTGCCTCTTGCTTTATGAACGTTCTATGCACATTTTAGCACATTTTAATTCAAGAACATTGACTGTTTGCATTATTATATGTATTAAAAAAAATGTAATTACCCGAGAACAGGAAAGGTAATAAGTTACCATGGAAGCACGACATACATACATAAGGTACATGTAAGTTCAGACTTATACAAAAGTTATTAAAAACATCCTCAAGTCATTTCACCCTCTAATTTATATATCTAAATGCTAAAAATAGTGTCCCTTTTTTTTGCTTTAATTAAAAATTAGAAGACCCCTAAATATTGTTAACATGTAGAGAAAGGAAGGGTTCAAGGGTTTTTCTTATGAGGTAGAACTGCCCAAAATGAAAGAACATTAATGATGTCACTTTTAATTAAGAAAATTAAAATATTTCACCAAAGGAAATTACATTAAGAACATCCTGCAGTTTCCAGGCAAAAAAAAAAAAAAAAATTAATTCATTCTCATAAGGTGAGCAGAAATTTTATGAGCAATAAGTATAGAAAAGTCTTTATTTAAACAACACACGTAAAGGCCTATTTTATACAAAAATAGTGCAGTTGTGGTTGCTGAATCTCCTGCAGGAAAAATAAATAGCAAAAAAATAGGAAACCACCCCCCAAATATCTGTTTTGAACCCAAGCAAGCATTATCCACATGAAGAGAAAGTCTTCTGCACAAAGACCCTCTGTGAGCCAACAACAAAATAAACAAACAACAAAATCAAACTCTCCCTAGTTCAAATTTCCTTGGAGAGGCTCTTCCAGCATTTTGGGAAGCAAAGCACACAAATGATGTGTTCATAAATTCATCTTACCTGCACATGACTTCGTGGGTGAGCAACACTCTGCACATCTCGGGGTTCTTGTTCTGGCCTTCGTAAGTTATAGGCTGCAAAAATTAAGAGAAGGGGTAAGCCAGGAGCATCAGGGGTTATTTATTCCTTAGATTATCCACATGGCAGGGGAAGGGATTTTACCACTGCTCACCATTGCCTGCAAATAAACACCTTCCCCTTTATGTGCAGGGGATAAATATGCAATATTTATGTGCAGCTTTACATAAATATTGCTACAAAGTGGATAAAAACCGCCAGTCAACAGAGGGAAAAAAAGAGACTTGAGAGCACAGTTTTCAATTACTCTCCAAAATAGGTCTGCAATACAGCTGAGCAAGAGCCCAAAGTGAAGCAGAGGAGGAAAAACATGCAAGGAAATGTTGAGCAAACAGGAAGGATGAGGTGGGACAGGACAGCGTGGCACAGATCGACCCTGCTCACCTGCTTGGTCACAGAATCAATGAGCCTCACATAGAGATCCTGTTCTGTCCTGACACCTGGAGCGAGGGAGAGCAGGATAAATAACATTCTACAGGCATCTTGCCCCAAGAGCAGCAGAACAAACCCATTTAGAGCTGTATTAGACACCCTCAGCATCCCAGGTAATTCTGTTTCCCAAGCCCATGTAAACTCCAGGGCCCGTCCCCGCACGGAAGGGGCCTCATGCAAGGGAATTTCAGGATATTTTGGAAATCACAGGAGCCTGCCTGGCTGCACAGCCCCCAGGAGGTGCCAGGGAAGGGCACTCACCGTTGCTGTAGAGGAGCTGGAGTTTGTAGTGTGTGCCATTGTTCGTCTTCTCATTGCCTTGCTCCTGAAAGGGAATTTGAAAGAAGCGGGGCAGGGAGAGAAAATCCTTCCAGAACTTACACTTGGCATATTTAAAATGCAAGAGGTGATAATCATGATGGGGGTGACAACAAAGTTGATTAAAATTCTAAGAGGTGAATCCACGGATTGGGATATATTAACCTTCCGAGTGACCCAGGACAAACCACAAAGTACTCCTGACATCTTTTCCTGTAGGAGTTCAAGAACTTCTTTCCCTCTTCTTTGCCACTATGCTCTCAACTTTTTCAAGAGAATACACTGAGAAGAATTTGTGCATTTCAAGTAATTTAATATAAAGCAGATTGACAGCAGGAAAACACAATGGCTTCTGATTTTACCGTGTTCATTGCTTTGCAATAGTTTTCCTTTAAGTCAAAATTTATATTGGTTTCCTGAAGGTTGTGTTACAGGGATGTTTCTTACACACTTTTTAAAATGTAATTTCCTGTTAGATAATTATTTATGATTCACAGTTCAAAAAATCTTGTTCATGGCTAAGAAAATAATTGAAAAAATGCAAAGTGGTCAAGACATGGAATTAAAATCCAAAAGCAAATGCTTTTCAAGTCCTGCCATTGACTTTGGAGCCTTAGGAAATACATATATCCACGCTCAATGATAATCTGACATATTTATCAGGTCAGATTCCCCTTCTGTTTGGGTACTAATAAAACCTGGCTGATGTGGTAGGTTAAAAAAGCTAAGTGCATTTATCCCCCATGAATTTTATTTATTTTCGTTTTAGTGGGTGAATGAAATTCGTGATACAGAGCAGAGGTTTCCAACCCTTTTTAACTCCAGCAGCACACACAGGGTTACAGCTCTACCACAGCACCTGAACCCTGACCAAACCACGGCTGTAAATTTTTAGGGTATTAGAAGCTGGCAGCTCAGCGAGGGGAGAAGATCAAAATTGGAGAGGAAAAGAGGAAGAAGAAGAGTAAGGAGCCTTACTTTATCATTTTCTACAAAGTCCACAAAAGCTGTCCTCTCTATTTCCACGGGCTGCCCCTGTCTGTCGTAGAGAGCCAGAACAAAGTGAAAGAAATTGGATTTCCTCAAGTTGGAGGGTGGCTGCTTTTCAAAGTGGGCTCTGGACAAAGCTACTCCGCTGTGGAGGAAACACACGGGATGGGGTGAGGGAGGAGAGACAAAGACATTACCAGGTTGTGCAGCAGTAAGGGCAAAACAACAATATAAAAATAGGCAGGGAGCACGTTCGGACTGTCCCTCGCCACCGCCGGCTGAGGGACGGGACGGGACGGGCTCGCTGGAACCTGAATTTCACTCCCTGCACTCCCCGAGGATAAGGAGAATTTACAGACAGGAGTTGGTGCTAAAGGCAGCGCGTGTTTTCCTTCCTCCGCTTATTTCCCTGCCTGTCAGCGCTGCTTGCAGGGTGGGAAGTGGCTGTAACGTGTCACAGGCTCTGGAAGTGTTCTTTGCGCATCCTGATCCCTTGTCCTCTAGGAGAAAACAAGCGACCCTAAAAATCTTTCCTACGGGCAGGATGTCAACAAGGGGCACCCCCGTTTTGGTCAGAGATGACTTTGGAGCAGAGCAGCCGCTTCCCTCGGCAGCGAAGTTTGACTTTAGTCACTGACTTACTCGAACTGATTCCTGCAAATTGAATCTCTGCTTTAAACGGAAAGAATTTAGTCTCGGGTTAACCAAGCCTTGAGAAAATCTTGTCCCTGACTGTAGAAAACATTGTGATGGTTCCCACGCATTTCCCGGCTTCGAAAGATTCAAATGCTTCTGTTTACCCACGAAATGCCTGACTGCAGCTTTATTTCTTTGTTAAATTAGTTGTAGTTCACTCTCCCTAAAGCCAGTTTCTACTTACTGAGAAGAAAATAGGTGCACACGAGCACCTCCAAATTACTTAATAGACAGATTAAGTCTATGTGCCAGACTAGATAGGAGCTTTGCGTTTTAGTCCCCAAAATAACTCCACATTACTGGCAAAAGTATTTGACTCTTTCAGAGAACTACAGATGTTTCCCTGCGTTTTCCTTGCCAATGAGGTACGGTGTGAACTCACCACATCCGCCACAACTGCACCTAGCCTGGGGATTCCTCTCGTTCTGCGTGTAAAAATTGGGATTTATTGCTTTTTTAGGAATATCTGGGAGAAAAACCTGGCGATGCCAGCAGGCAGCACAACGCGGCTGTACCTCCACCGCTCCCGTGAATTGGAGACTTGTCAGGAGATGTTCCCTTTTACTTTCAGTTTCCTCAAGGATAAACCTCTTCCCCCTCGACCGTATTTATTAAACGCTCTATCGACATTCATAAAACTCTGATAACTCCTCCCATGGCGCTTGGAAAACCTTGTTGCCAGATCAGGCCGTGGGTGGGGGGCATGGATGTATTATTTCTAAAACATCCATTTCATCTGAAGTCCCCTCTGCTGTTCCATGCCTTTCACCTTGTCTTTAATACTGAATAAAATCCGGCTTACTCCCGGGGTTCCAAAGTTAGCTTTCCTCGAAGCTACTACTTTCTTTTTTAACTTTTTTTAAAGTTATCCAAAAAACAAGGGGGGAAAAAAATTACCTAAAAGAGTTTTCATCGTCTTACCCCTAACGGGAAGAGACTGGGATAACTGTCCTGTGCCGGCTGAGAAGAGAAAATAAAAAAGGGGACGTAAAGGGTGATAACCCTGCCAAACAAGTAGAAAGCAAAGAGGCAGGCCCTAATTTCGGGATGTTCCGAGCCATTTCAGCTGGGCAGAGACCTCTCGTACGCTCGGGCAGGTGCTCCATGCAGGCTGCGGGATGCCCGCGGGGATCCGCTGTGCCTGTGCCCTCCCCTGCTCCCTCAGACCCTGCTCTGCCGGCCCTGAAACCACGGGTGAAGATTTCGGCAATGCCCACCGTGAATTAAGCAAAAAAAGATGGGCCGGGGGAGCTCGGGTTTGACATCTGCATTTAAGTTAATTCTAACTTGGTCCCCTTCTGTTTGGCTGTCTGGCGCAGCAAGCAGGGAGGAGTACCCTGGATCGCTGGGAACAGCAAATCCAGAGCCTCACGCATCTTCCTGGGGCAGAAAATAAAAGGGTGATCCCTCTCGCTGTCATCTGAGCCCCGCACTGGGTTTTAGGACTTGCGATGCTCTCCGGTTTTGGAGCGCTGCTGCCTAGCTCTAGCTCCATCCAGCCTTCACTTTTCGCTGACTGGAGGAGACCAGGATGGGGACAGAGAGGAATAAAATACATTTAATATCAAATGCAAACAACAGGGTATAATGAAAGGATTTGCTTTAAAAAAAAAACACAAAACAAGCAGGGATAAAGTGGGAGAGTATTAGTCACAGTTACCTTTGTGCTGCTACGTTTGCATCCACAACCCCAACGTTTCTGACCCAGGACCTGACGGAATCCATCTCAGAACCTAGAGATTTATCTTTCAGAATTGGTCCTCTTCCTAAAGTATCTTGAATTCCAAACATTTAAAAAGTCTATGCCAACTAGCAACAGTTTCCTTTTGGGAGATAAGGAAGAAGGGAAAAAAAAAAAGAAAAACAAAACGGCGCAGCCTTTGAATCTGACACACAAATCCCACGAAAGTGAAGTTCAGCTTTAAAACCAACTTCTTCTGCTTTTTAACGCTACGTGTTTTTATCGCCTTCAAAAGGGGAAGAAAGTTTTTCCTCTTGCCAAGTAAAAGTTACGCTGCTTCAGTCTTGCCTTGGTATCACCATCCTTCACACGCAGACGAGGGAGCCGCATCCAGAAACCGCTAACGAGGATCACCTGTTCCTCAAACAGACAACGCGGAGAAGGATTGATTGCTGCCTAATCCAGGAAGAAGGAAGGAAAAAAAAAAACAAAAAAAACCAAACCAGACGTGGGGTAAACGGCAAAAGCGAGGCAGGAGCGGGGCTGAGGAGCGGCCGGTCCCACCCGCGGGCAGCGCCGGCCGTTCCCGCGCGGCGACATGAATGGGTTACAGGGCGCGCGCCGGGGGCGGGGCCCCGCGCCGCATAATGAGCTCTCATTTGCATATCGCGCCACCATTGGTTGAGCGGCCAGGTCGCGCTCCGCCCCCCCGCCCGAGCGGCTCCGGGGTGGAAGGAGCGCGGCCGGCGCTGTCGCGATGGGGATGTCGCGATGGGGATGTCGCGATCGGGTTCTGCGGATGGGTCGGGGGTATAGCCCGGCAACCCCAGGCTGCACAAACCGTGCAAAAACAGCAGGATCGGCATGGAAACAGCCCGCCCGCCCTGGCACAGCCGGAGCACAGGCAGGGCAATCGCGAGTTTATCGCGATTGATGGGTTTAGCGCCATAGCCCGGCAGCTCCGCACCAAACGGTGCTGCCCCAGAATGTAAAAACCGCACTGAAGCTGCGGGACTGGGCTGGAAGGAACGCGCCAGCCGAAGTGCAGGCAGGGAACAGCGGGTTTATCGCGATGGATTATCGCGATGGGTTATGGCGATGGGTTATGGCCAGGGACCGGCAGCCTCACCCCGAGCGGCGCTGCTGCCCCAGAAAGCGGCGCGGGAGGAGCGAGCCCGTCCCGGGACAGCGGAGCCGGGCACCGGACTCGGGTTCATCACCACACCGACCTGGCCGAGCCCAGAACACCGAACTGCCCTAAAAGCGGCGATCTCCGCCCGTCCCACCGCCCCAAAGCCGCCGGGATGGAGCGGCCGCTTCGCTTCAGGCGCGGGATTTAAAATAAAAAATTGTTCAGAAGGAGAGAAATGGGTCTGGGGAAGGTGTAGGCAGAGGCTGCCTGCAGGGCAAGAGCCAGCCCAAGACTGCCAGGCACCCAGCAGACCCCAAAATTACACCCTGAGAGCTGTCAGGTCTCACCTTAAAACTTTTTATAACATCCCATGTAGGCAGCATTTCCCATTTAAAGGAAACCGAAGCTCTTCCCAGCCCGGCCCGTGGTGACTCGGGACCATTCTGCATTTATTTTATTTTTTTAATCTGCTCTGCCTTGGCGATATTTTCCTCCTGGCCCTTTTGTATTCTGATCTGTGTATAGATCTGCCTCTGAAACCTATATAACACCAACGCGAAAACAGATTTCAAGACAATGAATGCAAATCTGTGCTCAGAGACCATCTGCCAGATGAGGGAATCAGATGTTCGGTAGTTAAAGGCACAGTGCAAGGATTCAAGGATTTCCTTGACTTATGTGCAGCTCCTCTCTTTAACCTGCTTGAGTTTTTGGTTTTTTAGGGTTTTGTTTGTTTGTTTGTTGGGATTTTTGTTGTTTTTTTGGTTTGTTTTTATCGGGATAGAACTATAATTTCCATTTCCGAATAAATCGGAACTCCTTCCATCCACATTAAGCCGCGATATAAAATGCCGTATATGAAATGCTAGATTATTTTCACGTAGTTTTATACAGTTCTCTCCAAAAAGAATCTCAAATTTAAATCTTCCCATGAAACTTTCATTAAAATGTATCCTTAATTCAGGCACGATTGAGGGCAAAACCGGGACTCAGATTTATTCTGTCTACATAAGTGACAGACATGGTATTGGATGAACTAATACATCTCATCCAATCTTTGTTCAAGGAAATTTGCCATGCTAACCCACCTCTCCAAATTGATAAATATGCAGGAAATGATTTTGCCAGGTTAGCAAAAGGCGAGGTTGGCGTTATTTTAACGTTAGATAAAAGCAACAGCACTTTGACGGAGCTAGAGGGTGGAGACTAATCTTTCAAGATATAATCTTAGCATCTCTGACATGCAATTTCTCTGTATTAAAAAGCCCAAAGAGGGCAAGATATTTTTAAAAATACTAAAAAAAATGTGAAAAACAGACCATGTAAGATAAATAGATAGTAAGTATACTACTGTAAATATATATATGTGATGGTAAGGCATAATAGAGTGCGGCTTTTTTACCACTTTGCAATAGGCGTGGGTACATTTCCTGGAATAAAAGCCCCCTCTTTGTACCAAGATAATTTCTGGCAATACCGTTCCTACGTATGTTCCTAAAGGCTGGGCAGGGGCGGAAGGGGAGGGGGCGGAATTCCCTCTGGCTGCAGCCTTGGCCGATGCGTTCAGAAGCAGAGAACGCTCCCCGATAGTCCGAGCCCATCTCCCCTGGAGATAAACCCGAGCCCATCTCCCCTGGAGATGAGATAAACCCGAGCCCATCCCCGCCAGGTCGGGTCCAGCCCAGGCCGGCGGCTCCAGCTCCGCGAACAAAGGGGACTCGTGTGCCGTGGCCCCGGGGGACCGCCGCTTTTAGGGATTCGTGGAGGGTCAGAGGGCACCACACAGGTCAGGGGAGAAGCGCTCCCTTCGCCCCAAACAGCTGCCACCAGAATTTGGCACTCGAGGCACAGATGCAGGAGCATCGTCCCCTCCCGGCCCCGCGGGAGCCTGGGCTGTGGGGGAGCTGCAGCGCTCCAGGCAGGGGAAGCGCTTTCGGGGACACAATTTGGTCCCCCAAGCAAGTTTCTCGCCTTTAAGATAGGCTGCAAGAACACAGGAATCATCCTTGAATACTTCTGAAATTACAGGCTGCTGACCTTGACTCCCCATTTCAAGCCCAAAGTGTATTTAAACCAAGCGAAAAGCTCAGACTCTTCTGAAGCAAATTCACTCAGGAAAAAAAAAAAAAAAAAAAAAAAAGAAAAAAAGAAATCAACAAAAAAACCACAAAACCAACCAATGTTTATACCCGTGCGACCGCCGAGAAATCTGCATTTACACTTTAGAGGTTCCCGCAGCTCGGCTCGGGGAGTCGTATCCACCGGCAGGTAAAGGGCACCGCGGAACTCCGGCGGGGAAAACAACTCCGGAACAACCTCCCCGAGCCCGGTAAAGCCAGGGGAGCGTCCGGCAGAGCATCTGCCGTGCCGTAAATACAATAACACAGCCACGGCCACAAACGGGAGCCCAAGGTCGGGAAGGGGCTCCGGAGCGAGAGATGCGGGAGCGGCTCCGAGCCCGCGGCTCCCCGGGCGGTGCGAGGGGAAGGGCTCGAAGGGCTCGGGCCGGGCACTTCTCCGGTCCCTCCCGGCCGCCCCCCAATCCCCACAGCTTTCCAGCCAGCGGGTTTCATCCTGAGAATCGCTTCCAGCGATTTTCTCCCTCGGACTAAAAGAGACAGCGTGGGGCGGGAGGGGGGAGAGGGTGGAAAGCAACTGGTTCGGTGAGCGCTGATCATTTCCTTCTGCAGGAAGAGTTATTCCCCTCCAGATTGCCGCGCTCGTTTCCACATGCAGGGGTCAAAATGACAGGTGAGGCAGGTTTGACGTGGTAAAAAGAGATGCTCGTCTTTGTTAGCAGGTTTTTAACAGCGTCGCTTCATACACCGGAGTCAACTTTCACTCCTCGGCACATCTCAGCTACTCCCACAGGAAGAAAGATGGATAGAAGATAATATTTAGCTCATTTAAAAGCATAATCTTAAACTACTATTGTTTCCTCTAACGTTTAAGGGGAGAATGTCAGCCAAAAAAAAAAAAAAAAAAAAAAAAAAAAAAGTTAAACTAAGTTTAAAGATTACACACTTAGAAGGAAATATTTAATTCTTGTTCCCAGTCATTTGTGAGAATTCACCAACCTTCAGGTGCCTCAAGGGAATGAATTGTAGGTTAAAATTATGAATGTCAGAACGGAGAAGGACAACTAATATATTTCCTTCTTTATCCACTAATCTCACTGGAAGGTTCATTTTTCTAGTACACCTGTACCAGAAAAATAAATGTGCCTTTTAGGAATGCTTTTTTAAGCTGGTAACAGCTTCAGGTTCTGAGTCATGCATTCAAGCACGTCAGTTGCACTTTTGGCAATATAGGAACAGTATTCAACAAACAAAAAAGTCCCCAAAAACAATTTTCAGGTGCTGAACATCAGCATAAACAAAATATTTACTTGCACGGGATAGCTTGCGGCTTGCAATAGAAATGTGGCTACAAAAACCAGGAGCAGGCTGAGCCCTAAGCTGTGGAATGAGTGTGAGGAGGGCAGTCAGAGCACTGCCTACAGAACCAGATAGAAAACTGCTCCAACTGATGCAAGAACTACTCTGGACTTACAACACTTTCCATTTAACTAAAATAAAAACATACAAAATGAAAAAAATGCTTCTTAACAGGGGAGGTTTAAAGTAGTTCTGGTGGGTGCAACTAAATCCTGAAAGCAGCTTGGGTTCTTAACTGTGAAAACTGCTAAACAGGGTCTAAAGTGTTGCTCTCCATCATATTTATTATAAACCTAGTTTTATACAATTAACACATTTCTCAGAAGAGAACTCTCCATCTCATTTCTAGAAAAAGTTGAACCTCCAAGTATGAACCAATAGATCCCCCACGCCATCAGTGAATAAGCAGAAACTTGGGTTTAGAGCTGTAAAATTGTGATCCCTACCTGGTCTCTGCCTCTTTCTCTCCCCTTCCCTCAGGCACCATAAAGGCACTATTTACTGGGGGCAGCTCTCCACACTCATCAGCCCTCCCAAACTGCCACTTGCAGAGACTTCACCAATCCTATTTATAGGCAGCGAACAAAGGAATGCTTTCAAACTTACAAATGCATAAGTAAACATTTAATAACGTCGTCCCCACCTCAGCCGTCCCAAAAGAGAGAAAATATTGTATCCATCAGATCCACTTCTGAGTATCCTGTTCAGCCCAATAAGTAGGTGTTTTTCTTTTCACTAGAACAGAAAAACACATCTACTACATTTTATATCCAACTTTTTTTTTTATTTTATTTTAAAAGATACTTTTACTGCCTTTTGCCTAGCATAGTTTTGGAACACGTTAGCAAATAATATTTTACTATGGGGAGTGTATGTTCCATTTTATTTTACAATGCAGATTTGAGGAGTCGTAGCACTGAAGTTTGTTTTTGTAACCACATGGAGGTTTGAAGCAACAACCACACTCAGAAAAAATACTTGAAGCGGGTGTATATTTGTGCTGGGATCGTCTCTCTCATTTTGATTGCTTTACGGAGAGCAAT